TAATTATCCGTTTTCTGTTTGCATTGTTCTGAAGAACACGCGCGCCCGCGCGCCCCATAGCCCCGTTAATTTCACGAAATTTGCATAATGAGCCCCATTATATATTATATATACATCCTATAGCCAGTCACACAGTCAGTAAGTGAGCCACTTTTCAGAAAAGGGTATATACCATAGGTAAGGGAGGTAATGGGAAAACGAGCGGTGGAAATGAAAGATGAGGCGCATAATATCATCGGTATACGCGAGTGTGTCGCACGAAACGCTTGAGATCGGTGATACGACAACTTGTCGCCGCGGCTATATTATGTCGACAAGGCTATCATTACCATATGCATATATTCCCCCTTCCTCTAGAGCAGCTGTCTTCGTACATTTTTCTACGATTCGTTCAAAAAGAAAAAAAAAAAAAAAAAAAAGCATCGAGATACTCATCGCGCGCGTTTGATGTATACGCGCAAAAACGCTTTCGCTTAAATTGCATCATCATAATTTCGCGGAAAGTAGTCCGAGATACACATCTCCCCGGGTTTTTGACGTATATACCCACTTATTACGGGAAAAATAAAAACGCAGCATTTATTGGCGTCAAAAATTACACCGAGTAATAATACAACAACACGCGCCAATTACACGGCAAGCGCTCACAAGCAGCCAGCGAAAAGGAGAGATACGCACACACGTATGTATTATATACCCTAATAGAATTTGCAGGTGCACTGGGCAAGTATTAAGCCGTTTATCTGGGATGAGGGAGGGAGATAGTACGAGTAGCAAATTATATTTGTAATGACGTACCTATCTGTTAAGCTGCGCGGTAATCGATTGCGTGTATGGGTGGAGTGCGCAGACACACGGAGATAGTATAAACACACAGCTGAATCGTAATGAGCTCTATTGGGGGGGAGGGCCAGGCTCGGATCGTTACAATAGCGTATAATACCGGGTTAATCGAAATTTTATTAATATATATATATAACGCGCCATTCGAACTGTTGCAGGTAATCAGTTTAGCGCCGATCCGTTGTAAGCTCCCAATGCAACGGGTTTCAAAAATACGATTTGCCATCAAAAGGGCTCGCGAGGAATCTTAAGTACTTCCGTGACGCGTATACACGTTATATATATGTATAAATGTGTGTGCATACGCTCGGCTGCTCTCGTTCTCTCGTCGTCTCGGGAACAACGGTGGAGAGCCCGGCAAGTGCGAATCCTGAATTCTCGTTCTCCTCGCGAGAATACGTATACGGCCAAAGCCAATGTAAATTTCAAAGTCGCGCCGTGTGTGCGCGCGGAAACCAAAAGCTGGAAAAGCACCGCGTGCTTATATATTCTCGTACGGGGGGCTTTTCACGCGGGAAATTCGCAAATTCGGTTGGTTGCGGTGTCAATGTTTGTCTAAGTGGCGTGTATTATTATTATTATCATCGGTATACGCTCTCGAGGGCGCACGGATGGGTGTACGTTGCCGGGGCGGATTAGGGCTCCTTTTGCGCGCGCATGATTACACATTGTTCTTGGATCCGATTGTCTCGGCGCGGGAACTCGATGTTGTTTTAATTTTACGGAGGAGTTCCTTGAATCGCTGAATTGCAAATGAACGGGGGAGAGAAAGAGAGGGAGCCTAATTTATTGAATAGTACAACTCTCTCGAGTTATCGCGTGAACTTCGAACACCGCACAAGTCGCTCGAATCAATGTTTCACTTGTCACGGGGCGAAGAGTAACGTAATATGTGAGCGAGATTTTTTACAACTAAATATTCTTTCAAAATCAAGGTTCCACAGTTCCTCAACCATTTCAAATCAAAAAAGGTTAACAACAAATGGATACACTTTTTACAATCTTCATCTCCAATTCAAATTATTTCAACCAAGAGTTACACTTTATTTACTACAGTGTGGATTAATCGAAAAATCGATTTTAATTCCCAATTGAACTGCAATCGAATGAAAATGTAATTGAATAATTGTTTGAACCCTGGCCAAGATCGGACGAAATATGTAACTGTACTTGAGACACAAAATTTGGACGCGAGACGAAAAAAATCGTGTATGTTTCCTTGAAACGTGTGAGCTGTCTATTCATTTAATACCATAATTCTTAATTTTTTTCCACAATTAAATTGACCTTAAGCTTCATTGGGGTAACGAATACACAAGGCCCACCTGAAAATTGCATCTTCGTTAGAGATCGAGCAACCCTCCTATGCGTACAATAAACACGGACAGGAGAGAACGAGAGCTGATAAAATATTTCACGCAGCTCCGACGAAAGGGCGGTGTACCTGCGCGCGGGATCGCGATCGCTCGACCGAAAATAATTTAGGATCGGTGTGTGTATATACATATACACGTATGGGTAGAACGAGGTGAAAACCGCCGAGCAGCGAAGCGGGTGGAAAAGCCGGCAATCAGGAGTCGCGGCTGGGAAAAGTCGGCGCGTATCGGCATCGATGCCCAACGGAGGCGCTTGTGCAGTGTTTGCGCGGGTACCAACCGGACCGAAGAATTGATAAATTAGTTATTCCGTTGGACGCGCTCTCCCCGAAGCTCCTCTCCTCCGTTTGGCCCAAGGACGCGTATTTGATCTGCGGGCTCGCTGTCGTCCCTGTGCGTACACCGGGTACACCTACATACCCCCCACCCCACCCCTTTTGCAGTGATGGCTGATGGCATCAATCTTTGACTTTGCTCCCTCACCCCCCATCCACCTTCAGCCTTTACCAACCCTATATAGCGAACGATCGCCGAGTATGTACTCGGTTTGTACGTGTGTATATGTGTACCTGCAAATATTGGCTGGGCTCGTTTGGAGAAAGTACAATTTTGCGAAAGTAAATCGCAGGAATTGACGGTAAAGTTTTTATTCATCCTTTTTTTTTTTTACTGTTAAATCACCAGATTTTTATACGAAAATGATAAAATCCATCCGGGCCCAATGATAATAAAAATTGTCATGTAAAAAATACATGGCTTTTACTATACGTATAAAGTTACGCCACAGGGAGGTATTATTAAAATTCTCTCGAGCGAATAGCGCTCGTTTATAAACTTGGGGGGGGGGGCCGTTAGCAATTGCTTCCCCTCGTAAGCTTTGACTTCCTAATAGCTGCAAGGATGATTCTAAGATAGTGCCGAGCAGCTTTGGGGAGGGCAAAACTTGCCGAGTGTTTGTCTCGAAAGTTGTCCAACACCTGGGATCTCTGCGCCTCCGTACGACCCTCTCCTTATACCGTGCGTGCATTTGGCACGTTTCCGCGTGGGGCATAAATTTCACAATGATCGGGATTACCCGGGATCCTTTGCAACCAGCTCAATTAAGTTTACAAGAACTCTATACATTCGACGACTTGAAAGTGGATTCGAGTAGCATCAGATAACGCAACGACTAACGCAAATTTGGACTATTTTTTATTCCTCGGGACGGAACGCGCCTGATTACTCCCCGCTCATCCGAAAAATGACAATACGCAAAATTACCGGAGGATCGGGAACAAGCTCAGCGTGAAAAAAAAAACGAGCCCATAATATCCGCGCACAATAGTCGATTAACCGAGATGTAGGTGTGTACGCGTTCGTACACAGACACTGGGTATGTACACGTATAGTCAAGCGCGACAATGAAGATGAAAAAAAAAAAAAACTACTCGCACACCCAAATGTACACATATACATACATACGTATAAAAAAAACGCACGTACGTATGTATGCATGTAAGCGTCCGTGAAAGCCGGCTAAACGAATCGCGAAATAAAATTGCTCGCAGCACGTTTCATTTAAGCAACATTTGCTCTGCTACAACGAGACACGCGCACACACACACACACTGTATATGTATGTATATATGCAATGCTGCTGCCAAAGGTAATAGACGTATAATCCGCGCACTGTGTGTGATTGTAGGCACGGCACCACGGCAATCGCGGCCCGATTGTAGCTCTCGTGAAGGCCCGCTAACTATCTCTCAAACTAACCCCATTCAAACCGCCATCTAGACCCTCCCCCTCCGTCGCTATATTATAGTCACTTTATATCTATATATACTGCACACGGAGTAGGTATACATGTGTATGAAATACATGATTCCGGGATTCAGCCACCCTCGTACACGTGCATACCTGTACGAGAGCTTTTACTTATGATTTAACGCTAAATGTGTCCCAACTGTTGATATTATATAGTAAGTACTCGATTATTGATTGTTGGATGTGAACTTTTGTTCAAACTCGGTGCAAAAGCTTGGAAAATGAAATTTCACAGCGAGGCACGGGAAGAGCCGCGAGGAGTGCGCGACGTGTTTGTCTCGGGCAAGGGTGGGTGGGGGGGGGGGCACGTTAACAAACCAGGTAATGTCCGGAGGGCAGCAAACTCGCGTCTTCGGTGCTTCCGCCGGGGCCATCAAAGCTGGGAAAACCGAACAAACTCGGTTAGGCGGCCGTTACAGGGCTGTGTGTTCTCTTGCGCGTATGGTCCGCAGTTTCGCACAATATCCTCCGTCTTCGCACTCTCATCTGCTCTTGTTTGATCTATCCTCTTCTCTTTGTCTTTCATTCTCCCTCTCTCTCTCTCTCCCGTTCTCTTGGAATATTTCGAACTTGCCGTTGCGGAAGACCGTTTTCACGCCTCGACGCGAACGAGGCTGATTCAGGACATCACTTGGGTTTTTCGTATTTAAGTTTCAGAGACTATAGTTACGCGGTCAATCTTATTCATCCCAAATACTTGTATTTTTTTTTTTTTTTTTCAGTTGATGGCTCCATCGATACGTGAAGTGTTGCATAAATACGACGACACTATAATTATATTACGTGGGTATGTTGTACACAAGAAGGTTAAAAGTGAAAATTGGAATAGACTCGTGTTTCGTTTCGAAAGATCCAATTCATCCAATGTAGAGACAATCGATGGTTTGTCAACAGTTTTATTTAAAAAGCGCGAGTAGAGCTAATACAAAATTACATAACGTTTGCTTACTTCTAAAAAAAAAAAAAAAAAAAAAAAAAAAAACAAGAAGAACTGTCTGGTAAAATGAAGAACAAACTTGCCTAAAACAATAAGTATAAATATACCTGTGTACCTTGGACCATCTCCCCTGCCGGTTAAGTACATACTAAGTTTAAACGTAAACACGTGCGTATAAAAAAAAAAAAAAAATAGACGTTTGGCATTTTGTCATCTCTCCCCAACCGAATTTGGACTAAACATCGGTGGAAACATGTCGCGTGGCCTGCAAGCATGTAAAATCCAAAGTCAAAAGCCCATAGAGAGAAATAATAATATACGAGCTGGAAATAATCGTTCAAATTACGGTTATTCGTGAAATACTGTTGCTCGGGGATCTGTCCGCGAGACCAGCGCCTGCGGAAACACTCGGGCCTAGTCGATCGGGCAAATCCTCGCGGTTCCACGTGCACACCTCGTCGTATATCCTTTGCTCCGGGAGCCACCTTGAAACGAAACATCGAGTCAAATGAGCACCAACAACGGATGCTGTACAGTACTGTTACCTGTAAATCACGGGCGACAGTAGGTCTTTGTTGATGGTCGACGGGTCGAGCGGCTTGGTCATCCACGAGACTAAGCTGCCCACCGCCATGACAATGACGATGCCTATGCCGGAAAAACAGTGGTAAGACAGCCGGTAGAGGGGAAAAACGTCATCCTCGCTGGAAATGAAAACTTGCGTGACGTAAGCGTGTACGATAAATGAAAAAAACAAAACAAAAAACACTCACTTTGGATACTCGAACTGTTTCAAGAAGCTCTCGGTCACGTTGGCTGGACAGTGGTCCGTGGGAACGGGCAGTTTTTTCGGAACGATCGAGCCAGAGCTGATGGCCGCGTTGGCACCGAGACACGCCCAACCAGATACCAAAAATCCCGCGACGGCGCCCACGAAGGCACCCTACACCCCATACACAGAGAACAGAAGAAAATTTGGCATGCTTTTAGTTTCGCTAGTTTGTGTGGGTTTTTGTTGCCGATTCAGAATCTGAAAGTAATTCAACGACGATTCCGATTTAATGCGGACGAGTCAACCTTACAATATACAACAATGAACGACATGCGCTCACCTTAGAATTCGTCCAAGGAACCAACATGCCGAGAGTGAAAACTCCAAAGGACACACCAGCTGCGACAGCGGCCAGGCTGTTGGTCACCTGGAACGACGAGTACAGCATCATTGTTCACATAGCTTGGCTTATTGTCGGAGCTGCATCTATGCATTACAACAAGCGTCAAACCGAACAAGAGCAGAAAAGAAAAAGAAAAGAAGCAATTACAGACAAAACTCCTCCCAACTTCTCGACGATAAATATCAAGGACAGAGCAACTAAGCCTAGAATCACAACGACACTCTTAACGAAAATAGTGGCCCACTTCTCGTTGGGTTTCAGCTTGAAGCAGCCCTTGACGAAATCCTCGAGAAGCACGACGGACGTAGAGTTCAGTCCGACGGACAGGGAGCTAAACAAAAACACCCGTATCACCGATATTGCAGGGGACACCTCCTGCGAAAGGAAAAAAAAAAAAAAAAAAAAAAAACGCCCGTTTACCTGAGTGCCGCTCCAAAGATGCCGGCAATGAAGAGCCCGGGAACGCCGTGCAGTTTCCCGGCTATTTCCATGACGAAGGCAGGCAGTAGCTGGTCGTCGGCGACTAGGGCACCCGTAGCTCGGGGATCGCACTTTGGGGGTGACCACCACGCGAGCAGCACCAGTCCGCACCAGCAGCACAACGAAATGAAGAGAATCGTACCGGCGATGAACCAGCCAACTGCCCTGGGAAGGAGCACGCCCTGGTAAGTGAGTTACAATAAAGAAAAAGGATAAAAGAGAGTCAACTCACTGTTTGCAAACTTTCGTGCTGGAGAGCGAGGAGTAGCGCTGGACCATCGTCTGGTTGACGGCTATGTACGCGGTGCAGTAGAGCCCCGAGCCGAAAAACACCGTCCAGACCGTGTGCCTCGTGTACGGCGATGGCTCGAAGCTGAGCGATCATAAGAAAAAAAAAAAAAAAAAAAAAAAAAAAAAAAATTTCAAGTGCGCGTGTGACACATTGTGATAATAGGTACGTCGAGCAACTGACTTGAAAAACTCGATGCGGCCCGCGTCCTGGGCCTTTTGCCAGACCGCCGACGGGCCGCCGACCTCGTAGGTCCCCAGACCCGTGACCACCACCACCGCCGTCACCATTACACCTACTTGGAGGGCGTCCGTCCACACCACGGCTCTCAAACCTCCCTGGAGAAAAACCACGCTCGGATCATTATTTGCAATGCACGAGTACAATGTATAGCTCTCTCGTCTTACCAAAACAGTGTAGAAAACACACGTCAGGCACACCATGCACCCGATCAGATGGATGTCGATGCCGCTCACTGAAAATTCGTCAACACATACGTATATAATCATCATCCGATCGCTTGTGTCGGTAGAGAAACAAAGTATTACTACCTTGGCTCAGAGCCAGCGCCGGGACGTAAACAACGATCGATTGGTACATCACCTGTGTCGAGTTTAATAAGTCAATTTTTGTCGTCTCAATTGTGTGTGCCATGCATTTCAATGCACAACAGTGCAAACTAATATTAATTATGCGTGTATGTATGGGCAGTGTCATTGGGATGGCTGTCGTTGGTGTTGGGGATGATTAATCGTTGTTAGTTTTGTGTCATGTAATTACGTTGATTGCAATTTTATTCAATGAGTATAGGTAACTATAAAATCAACTTTACCACGTCGACGACGAAGATCAGGGATATTAGTATTCTCACGCTTCTATTGAATCGCAGCTCGAGGTACTGAAAAATCGAAAGGCGAGATGAATCACGTGCAATTAAAAATTCTCAGCGAGTGCAAAAAAAAACAAAAAAAAGCAACAAAAAAAAACAAACCTCGTAGGCCGAGTTTAATTTCAAAGTCGTGAAAACGGGCAAGTAAACGTTCACAACGATGATGCCCGAAAACACCAAGGAAATCACCGTGATCCAGTATTGGGTGCCGAAATTGTATACCTCCGAGGGCGTGCCGAGAATCGTCACTCCGGAAATGAAGCTAAATCGAGGGGGGGGGAGGGAAAGAAACTGATAAATAAAAGACCATAACTCTGGAAGTTGAATCAATTATTCAACTGCATCAGGATTAAAATATTCATTGGAAACTCGATCGAATAAACAAGCGAGTGTACGTATACGCTGTCGAATCGAACTCCCGTTCGGTTGAAAAGAAAAGAAAAGAAGAGGGGGGGAAAAAAAAAAACTGGTCTCTGGTCGCGGGCAGTATAAACATTTTCATTTACCTCGCCACCAAAGAGGCGGAGACGGGGAAGAGTTTCAGGTCTTTGCCTCCGAGCAAATAATCCTCCGTGTTTGCGTTTCGGGCTTTTTTGTGGTGCCAGAGCCCGGCTCCCACCGATACCGTCAGCATACCCACGAATAACGTCCAGTCGATCCAATGAAAATACCATCGCTCCGCGCTTCTCGGATCCATTTTCTATTGTACCCAGGAACTCGTTTTGCCTCTATAAAATCACCTCGTGCTATATACTTTTATATCCTATAGTTTAAAAGCACAAAACACTCGTAGTTACTCTTAAAGTTATATTTCCAAAAACCTTGTATTTTTAGGTGGAATGGCCGTTTCGAAGTTAAATAATACAGAATCGCTTTCTCGGAGAAAAAAATCGTGTTAACGTGATGGAGCGACTTGGACAGGCCAAAAAACTGGATAATTTATGTGACTCCGAGATGCCTGAATTTAAAAAAAAAAAAAAAAAAAAAAAACACACAACAAGGTTTTTGACACCGCACGCCGTAAAATGTGGCTCTTGCAGCGTTAAAAGCACCGCGTACGCGAGCACGAAGATAAAACGCGCAAGGAATGCGCCTGTGCCTATTACACGCGCTTCGGTTCGTCAATTGAACTCCGTTTGTTCCGCCAACTAAGCAGAATTAAAAACAATCGCTGATGCTGTTGTTGTGTTATACCGATCACGGTTCGATTAGCGCAGCCGATCACGTTTTCCATAGTCGCGGTACAAACTGGCAGAGTCGAAGAGTCCCTCGAGCGTTGATCAATTTTCCGACATGGCCAGAGAAAGATAGAAAATAAAAGGCGATGGTGAAAGGGATGCTGCGATGTATACTCCGTCGCGCGTTTTGGACCACCAGCGTCAATTTACACCTATAAATAGGGCGTGCTTTTTTTTTCATTTATATTTATAGTCACTGCGCACGCCACGCGAATAATATTACACATGTTATACACCTAAGCGTGCACGTGCGCGAAGAGAAGTTTTGTTTCTGATGGCTCTTGGAAAATCATAAACAAAGCAATGAAATAAAGTGAGGGCCCTCGTTAAAAGTCCAAACTGGGGCTAACTTGGTTCACATGTTTGGAGCGCGGGGATAAACTCGTATATATACACACATAAACGATCGAGATCGAAATAATTGCTGTAGCCTTGATCCTCATCGATCTCTCGTCGAGTCGCGCGAAAGAGATCGTCGGAATGGCTTGCGCGCGCAATTTCGGGACCTTGACCGTTTTGAGTTTTCACGCCGACTGCGCGGAGAAGAGAGAAAATTTTTGCGCCTTACCTTCGGCGAGTTAGGGTGGGCTGAGCTTCAGTCGATGAACTGCGAGAGCCGGCACTGTGGTATATATAGTATACACAACTGTTGCACGAGACACTTATTATCACAACAAATAAATTACGCACGACTATGTAGATACTACATCATTCACTGGCAATTGATGTCTTGCGCGCGAAGAATGAGTATGTAATACTTGGGAGGGAGATGAAACGTTTGTCTTTCTTCTGAAGATGGGCTGGTGGTACTGTGCCGATGTTGTTCTCGAGTAGCCGGCCCGGCTTGTCACGTTGATGCAACGGGTACGACTTGAATACCTCACGGTCAATGTGATTTCGTGCGGATTGGGAGACGATGACGATGCATGGCCGGTGATCGTATTTATTTTTCTACACGTGTGGAGCTGTCGTCGAGATCGGCGCGTCTAGCGTGTGGGTATTTACAATCTTTGTGGTCTGTCCGATTTGTCTTTGACTACTGGCTCGCTGCGCGTCGCTCCGCTTCTCTTTATATATATTTGCACATCCCACGTATAGGCTCGATTTATACTCCCGAGACCAAAGTGGGGCTTTTTTTTTTTTTTTTTTTTTTCTATGCTCGCTGTACACTTTATCTCTATCTCTCTTTAGGACCGAACAGCTGGTCACTTGTCTTATCGCTTTTTTCTGCATCTACTGCCGTGTCTGTTCGTTTTTGGATTTCATTGGCACAACGGGGGAAAAGGGGACGAGTTGTTCGAAAAATTTGCATCGTAATTTAACTATTCGCTTCCTTCTGAAATTGACAATTTTATAATATTGTTGCTAAACGCTGCGTCCACTCGCACCGTTCATTTGTGTTTTTACGTACAACGAGTGACGATTTTCAATACAAAAGAAAAGAAACATTGAAAAAATAAAATAAAATAAAACATGCTAAACAGCAAATTTCCAAGTCAATTCGTTTTTTCTTTACCTAACCAGTTTACTGTGACGGTGGAAAATTTTTGTGTTTTAAAAGTTTCAACTACACGCAATAAAAAATGAATTTGAAGTGAGGATGGAGCATGACTTTATTTATTCAATCAAAAGCCAATGTTTTGGGACTCTTTCTAGTATCAAAGATAGTTACATCACGATAGAAAATATTGGTCGTCGCAAAAGTAATCAAAATATTTTACGAAAACAAAGATAACGGCTTTTCTGAAAGTGGAAATTAGAAGCCAGAGGTAAGGCTTGTTACCTAGGAAGATTATAAAAAAATTAAAGTAATTACTTTCTGAGGTATTAACCCTTATCTCTGGCTTTTAATTTTCACTTTCAGAAAAGCTGTTATCATTGTTTCTGTAAAAAGTTTTTTTTTGCAACTACTGAAAGAGATCCACGAAATATTTGACAAGTTTTTTTTTGTTTTTTTTTTCGTGTGCAGTTATTATTCAAAAAATAAGCAAGAATTTTTTTTAATGGTTTTAAAGGTTTTATTTTGATTTGACAGTTTTTTTTTGGTCATCCCACACACTTTTGGTATTTTAAATTCTATTTCACATTTTAAATCACTCAATGTTGCTTATATATGAATAATTACAGTATATAATATTTAGAATCGATACTTCTGGTACAATAACGATATACATGAAAAATTACATAGAATAAAAAACCCTGTCAACACATGATTTTTATTAAAAGTTAAATTACTTTAGAAATATAACTTTTAGCACTTGATTTCTTCATGTTATTCTTATAGCTATAAAAAAATGAATCTTTTTATAATTTATCTCTAGTTCAAATTTAATTTCAACAAACACAAACCGTATACGTTTTTTTTTTCAACGTTGGCACAATAAACAAGTATAAAATATTATCAAAAGAATTAATAATATACCTTAAGGATATTATGTCTTGAAAATCATACTTCACTCCAAAGAGAAGATGTTATTTTGCAGTCAACATATTTTATAAAGCACAAGTGAAAGCACATACATACATTAATGAGAAAACATAAGTTTACTATTACTATATAACATGTTTAAAAGAAAATTAAATTTATCATTAATAGTCTATGAAAAATTTATTACACCTTCCCATTTTTGTATACGCCTCTGGCTGCTGTGTACAAAATAACACCGCACAAAAAATTCTGATTAATCATTCTTTTGCGGAATGTATAATTTTCTGATCATTCATACACTGTTTGCATAAAATTGATCCAAACATACACTTTTCTATAATTACCTATATATTTAAATGTACCAGACTTATTTTCAAAGAATCGGCACATCAAATCACTTACTCTTCGGTGTTGATTCACCATTTAGAAGCTATCTATTCCAGACAATAGTCATTAATATATTTGCACTTGCACTTAATAATACAACACAGTTCTTTAAATGCCTCGATTATAGACTAATCACAGTTTTCGATGTTTTCCTTCGCCAAACAACCATCGACAAGTCCTATCTACTAAAAATGCCAACACAAAATCGGCGACTAGTACTTGGACTAGGATAGTTCGAAACTGTAAAAAATTATTACTCGATGTAAATTTAGATTCAATTCCTTAAATTTTAAGGTATAATATTTGCTCGTAACAACTTACATCGCTTGGAAAATCAACGATTTCAAACTGCAAGGCAATGTCTGGTACCACTCCCAAAGCCAGCGCGAAAATGACTGCTGTACTACCCGCTAAACAGTATAACAGTAGTTTGTTCTCCAATAAACTCTCCATAAATGGTCGTCCCTACAAAAAATATAAATTATATTGAATCACGCAGTTTTTATTGCGCATCATCAGATGAAAAAAAAAAAAAAAAAATTTGCTCACCCTGTAATTAATTGCAAATGTTGAAACTTGAAGAGTCATGGAAATTATATAAACTGTACTATTTATAAGATTCATTTCAAAAGGCTCATCTTCACTATCCGAGTCAGATATACTTGTTGTTGTATTTGATTTTGTAGACAAAATTTCAGATAGTTTGTCATCTCTGCAATATCAAGAAACAAGTAAAGATAATTTTGTGTATAACGCTGTACCTAAGATAAAATTTTATAGAAATTACATAGATTTTTTTTTTTCAAATACAAACTATTACGTACTTGGGAGAACGAGCAACAGCTTCTCTGACAAGGAAAATTAAGCAGCAAAAATGTACAGCAAATTGAAGTAGGACCGTTAATACGGTGTATAGATTAAAAATATTTGGCAGTGGTCGCTGTTTAGACAGTGATTTTAGAGGTTTAGAGCGCGATATAAATAAGAAGCAAATGGCAAGTAAAATGCCCTGCAATGTTGCTTGTGCATCGCTCAATTTAATATTGTCCAAATAAAGGACGGATTGACTGTACGCTAAGATCAAGGCATTCAACGCCAAAATTTTGAACATCTGAAGAGTAGTAACAAGCGTACAGCGTCCTTGCTTGATAATATGGCAAACTATAAACAAAATATGTCAATCTAGATTGATTGTAAAAAGTAAAATCAAAACAAAAGTAACAGTTATAATTACTGCATTGAATAGAAGAAAATTTGCTAGTGAATGGTGCAGCAATTGATGCATCGCCAAGTTTTACAACAACAGATTCTTCTTGCTCTTCAAGATCTTTCATTAACTTTTCGATTTTGCTTCTAGTTCTGTTTAATTGTTGCTGACGAGGATTCAACCTAGCAATATTATTTATTGGTACAGGCGACTCAGTTGGAGGAGTGGAACTTGGTAGCGCTTCGCGTTTTGGTGGACTGGAAAGAATTGCAACTCCTAGAAAGATTTTGCATTAGATAATTTGCAAAAAAGGTGTCGGCAAGAGCACAAAATTTTAATAACTTACCAACTTGGGCGTGTTTTAATGCTCCTACATCATTAGTTCCATCGCCACACATAAGGGTAACAAATCCTACATGTTGCAAGGCCGTGATTATGTATTCCTTTTGTTTTGGAGCGCATCTAGCGAAAATAACCACGTGTGATATTATTTTGTAAAGGTAGCTCTTTTCATTATCTCTCAAGTAACTGAAGCCCTAAAATGAAATTTTCTGATTAATGTTAGAAATTTACAAAGTTAGAAAAATATTGACAAACCAATGGAAAAAAAAACCAACCTCTCCAGTAATGCATAAAGCATATTCTTGCCAGATTTTCTTTTTCTTTGCATCTTCCAACGGAATTTGCAATGTTTCATCAACACTCTGCCAAACCCACTGGCCTTTCAAGTAGGTAAAAATTAACACTACACTTTTTTTTGTAAAGTGTAGCTCACGTGCAACGTGACAGGCTGTCAGTGGATTGTCGCCAGTTATCATTACAACCTTGAAAATAAAACGTTATTACATTGATACATTCTTGTTTTGAAAGAAAAAATTAATCAAAGTAATTACAGAATGCGAGGCATTAAGAATTTCTCTAATGACGATCTTTGAGTCAGTTTTGAGCGGACAGCTGATGATAACAAAACCAACGAATTCAAGTTCACGTTCGAGATCATCGCGAGTACAGTCTCGCAGGCCTGCTACTGTCATTGAACTTGGGAGTTCGCGGTATCCTAAAGCGAGAACCCTGGCACCTCGACGAGCCAAAGTTAAATACATCTCGTCGTAATTGTCCGGCACAGAGGAGAACTAAAAACAATTTTTATCTAAAATTTAGGGTCGTCAACTTTTAAGTTTCAAAGTGAAGTGGTGTGGTGAATCTTACCATGTCTTTCAATGTTTCAGGAGCACCTTTAACGCTGACTATTAATGTCTTGTTCAATGATGTACCAGAATTGTAGCCAGCAACTACTGACATTCTTTTTAAAGACGATGAGAAATGATACCTTTGGAAAATTTTGAAACCCGGCGATTTACGTTTTACTGGTACAACAGCATCACCTGAAAATGTTTAGGTAAATATTTAAAAAGTTATTTGATTATTTCTATGTTAATTGAGCAATGAATATTAACTTTTTGTAAGATTCCAATTAACTGCTTTTAATGTTGCTTTTTCTAAAGGATCTCCAACAATATTGTTGTTTTCTAACTGTACTAATGAGTGACAAGTTGCTAACACTTGAACACTTTTTAGTGGTGCTTCTGTTAACTGTACCACGTCCGAGTTACCACTAAAAATTTTTTATCCATTAAAACTTAGTTCATAACATGGATATTTCTCAGGAAAAAATACTGATATACTCACTTGACACCAGCTACACCCTCGACAACTAAATTATCACTAGTCAAAGTACCAGTCTTATCGAAGCAGCAAATTTCAATTTTTCCAGCGAAAGGGATTCTAAATGGTTCTGTGCAAAATACTCCTAACTTTGACAATGCCAAAAGTGAAGTGTTTACTGCCAGTGACAATTCTATTGGCAACTCAGGTGGTACAACTGACGTCAAAATTAATGTACATTCCAAAAACAATTTGTATTTATTCCTATTTGGATCTTCGCTTCCTGTCATGATAATTTTATTCATTTTTTAGTTCTTGCTAGCTTATTGTTATTATTTTTCAATTTATTAATATTTAGATGTTTTTAATGTACCTTTGACCCATACGTATGCAGCTGCAGCAATGGCAAAAATAAGAAGGAACAAGATAAATCCAAAAGTTTCTAAATTATTAGCCGTTACTCGTTTAACACCAAAAAGAATAGTTCTCAAGAGCTTTCCTTGAGACGTAGAAAAACCTGTTCTCAGTACATATGCAACACAGCCATTGTCATTTGCTAAAATTAAATAAATAAGTTTGTCTTGTAAAAAAGTTAAACTCATAAGCTGAGAATAATTGGATACCTTTCGGTCCCGAAAAATATTTCGTTGGAGATGTGTGTTGAACTACTTTAGTACCACCATAGAGTACATGAAGTTTCTCATCTCCTTGAATGTCTATAACTCTACTTCCATCAAGATCCTTCAACTCAGATTTTATTGGTTCTTTCATTTGTGGCACAGATTCACCTGGAACCGAACAAAAATGTATTTGAAATGAATCAATGACAAAAGGCACATCTTCATCACGGATGATTACCTGTTAACATGCTTTCATCTACGATGCATGATCCACTCAAAAGAAGCATATCGCAGGGAACAAGATTATCATGCTGGGACCTTGTTATAGAAACAATGTCACCAGGAACTAGTTGATCGCTGAATACTAATTTCCAATGTCTGCATCTATAAACCTGGAGAGATAATTTTTGAAAATCAAACCTGAAGGTAATTGAAATCTAAAATAGCCAACCAACCATTATCATGTATGGTTTGTTTCCCATTTTCCTGATTTCAGCCATATTTTTAAGCTGCTGTTGAACCAATGTACACTCAAACAAGACCAACATAACAAGAGTGAAAATGCTATAGTACCAATATCTATCTAGACACCAAAGAGCCATACAAAAAACTTGAAATACAAAGAAGGGTGCGATCGCTCGTTCCTTAAAAAGCTCCCAAAACTCAGGAACCACCATGTCAAGACTATAAAAAAACGATTCATTAAAATTATATTCAACTAAAATTAAAGAACGATAAATCAATTGAAAACAATCATACTTGTTGGTACCGTATTTCTGTTCTGCATCTTTGATTTCCTTATCATCTGCGTATCCCTTCCACTGTAGGTAATATCCCACCGAATTATTAACCGGAAACATAAGGCCACAAAACTCCTTTTTGTCGGGGTCCCATATATACTTGGTTTTCTGAAAGATGAACCAGGGCTCGTGACTGTTGTTCCTCTGTATCCTGACAAGCTCTGTGCTGCCATTGTTCGGCATAGGCACAACCTTGGCAAGTGCTGCAGTGTAGGGATCATTGGTCTGTAAGAAAAAGTAGGCAAGTATAATGGGCATCGCTTTGTCATGTGTGGGGAAAGCCCCCACAACAGCTGTGCAGCAGTAGTGCCACGTGAACTCGTTGACGAGTCATAGATAAATACTTGGAGACGACTTACAGAGCTGCAGTTGAGGAAGGTGTGCACGTGAACGGACCACTGGCAACAGAGACAGACGAAGATCTGGAGCACAGCGATGAAGACGATACCGGCGAGGCCGGGCTCGTAGTAGTCTTCGAGGCCGTAAACAAAGATCCAGGCGTAGATCCAGAGAAACTCGGTAAGAACGAAGGGCAGCACGTAGCCGTTGAAAACGAGTTTGCGTGGGTTGTGCAGACTCACGCTCTGGACGAGCTCGTCGCCGGCTGCTGACATACGCGCGCTGCTCGCCATCGTTATACGTCTCGTCTCTCCCGGTAACTTGATTGTGGACGCACTTGATGCACACCTTATGTGGTTTCCTCGCGACCCAAATTTACCATTGATTCCGACAGCTGCAGCAGCGTTAACCGATGACACTATACGACGGCCCGGAGCGCAGGTTACTGCAGCAGCAACAGCCGGCCATCCCCCTATACCTCGAAAAACTCTCGAGCAGAAGACTCCAACCTCAAACTGTGAGCATTATAATGTATCTCTCTCCCTCTCGCATACACTGCACTATTACACAATACTGAGGACAGAGGAATATAAAAGAGTTGATCTAGGGTATACTTATTCTTCCTTCTATATATTGAGCTTGATACTTTTGTTTTTTTTTCCTCAATGGTTATTATATATAGGCATACGAGAATTTCCTGTGTAGCTGCAATCTGCAGAGTCTAGCAGCCAATACGACATACACACACACATATACATACACCAAACATCAGCCAATGCGTAGGGCTGAGTGTAGACGACAGTTGGGCGCGAAAAATTTTAACGTAACTATTTATAATTATTCTGGCTTTTTTTCCAAACACGGAACTTTGTTAACTAATTGACTAAAACTGGTTATATCTATTTATCTTTCGGAGCGCGCATCAACATTAGCTAAAACTGCGTACATGTCTAATGAAGGTAAGTATATGTAATGGCAAACGCGCTCTCTTGTACTCTGCGTTGGTACATCACGTATACGAAGGTGAATATGTAATGACACATCATGAGTTTGCGATCCCATATATGTAAAAAAGCAGAGACCGCTGCATCGGTATCGGTACTTACGTTTTGGTCCTACGTGTACAGTTTTATTTGTTAGAAAGAAAGAAATGTTTCATCAATTAAATACAATTGTATTTTAAATAAAATAATTATTATATAACATCGTAATTACGAATATTATTTTTTAACGATTATCTATGCTATTTTTATTAAAACATTTCAAACATACAAAACAAAAGTTTTTAAATCTAAATATTTTGTTTCAGATGAAATAAATAAAGTAAAATATTTTAAGTACAATTGTATTTGTTCAAATGATGTATTTCATATACAAATGTAACCAATAAAAGTATTTTAAGTTACTTGTTGAATAAAAATGTTTTTGTAAAATACTATTTTTTTTCTTTTTTTTTTTTTTTTTTTTAAATACTCGACTTGATACATCTGTATTTGATTTAAGTATTTAAAATACTCTAAAATCAAATACAAATATAATTCGTCAGCGTGTTTGCTTTTTTTAAATGGTAAATATGGTTCGTAGCCGAGTGGTTACACATATACCCAGCATGTACATTTAGCAAGTGAGGAATAAAAGAGCGTTACGTCCTGCTGTCAACCCACACGGTGATGAGGACAGCAGTAGACAGGTATGGGTAATAGAAACAACTAGTGCAAATAAAATCACGAGCACGAGTGACTTTTTTTTTCATTCAACGTCCTACAGATTTGAAATCCGTCATAAATGAGAAATTAAATATGATTCAAACGGATTCGTCAGTCACCGCTTTTCATATACTTAAAAGTGAATTATTTTTTATGAAAACTGTAATTTTCTTTATAAAAGTATTTGACTGGGCAAGGATGCACTAAAAATTTTTAGAAGTAATTATATCCCAAAACATGTTTACCGGTTTATATTATTTATTGTTGTTTCCAATTGAAAGTAATTTTATTTCATTCGGACATTTAGTAATCATCAATTAGGTTGTAATCACTTGTACTGGGACATTATTTTAGCACCTATTAAAAAAAAAAATTAAATAACCGTATGTAATTTAATGGCAATTAAACGCATGTTACGTGCTGGTATAAATATCGTACGTAAGTTGTTTTACTAATAATGTGAAATAAATATCGATGAGATAAGAAATTCATCGGAAATGGATATAATTAAAAAAAAAAAAAATTAATGTACTTACGGTTTAAGCGACTTAACGGTCAAAGTGGCAGAAAGTTTTTCCCACAGCCAGAGGCGATCATTAAATTTTAAACATCGCCTGAACTGATTTTAAACCCCAAGCCTTTAGTTGAATACGGAGAGAAAAGAACCTTCGGATAAATTACAGTATAATTTGCTAAAAAACACCACGATAGATTTGTTTCTTCCTCCAATCGAAACCTCGTAAAAATTTTTCCATAACCGCATCGACCCAAAAATGAAACTCCAAATCGGAGTGTAGGTACCACAACACTATATTTTCCAATTATAATAATAAACTTTCGATAAACAATCAAATCGTTAATTCGTCAATTATTTCTTTAAAACAATCGGTATACTATAGCTGCTGTTAATGTCCAGCTCGTCTTTTTTTTTTTCAAATTGATTAAATCATATGTAATTGACAATAGTAGACTCATTTGAATACCTCTAAAACGCTTGATAAACTTGTTGCCATGTTTTTTCACAAGCGTACACGTAAAATTAAACGGTAAATACAAGTAACACCGTAGTGGTACATAGCAAAAAAAAAAAAAAAAAAAAAAAAATTGAAGAACGTCCAAGGACAGCCTCGATTAGGTGGAAAGTCCAGTTTTCGACCCGCTCGGTGTTTTTGTCGCTTCTAGCCAGCTAGTAAGTGCCCTTGCAACGGGTACACTTGGCGCGGCGTTTCGCAAGGTTTTCATCGAACATGGGTGTATACCTCACACACACGTCATAGGTGAGCACGTTTGCTCAGCTGTCCGCCCATCCGCGTTGATGCCGTACACCGCGTGGACGATGCGTAGGTGGTGCGCGACATAATTATGCTCAACGGTCGCGGTAATCGCGGAATCGAGATCTATTCTCTCTATGGTAAAAGGCCGGTATACGTGTGAGTTGGCAAAGCAGCAACTGTCCCAGCCGCGACGACGGCACTCTCGGGTAGGTATATTGTGATGTGTAATAGTCGCCCTGGGGCTCTCCTTTTTTTTTTTTTTCCCTCTCCCTCTCTCCTGAGCACACTCGTGTTCCGCAAGCAACGACGCGCGTCTATGTAGTGAAAGTGTAAAAGCCCCTCCCTCTTGGGCGCGTAACAGATCGCGGATCGGTTGGCCGTTACCGGCTCGCGCTGCACTTGTTAGCGGCTCGTGGAGGAAGAGCGCCGAGTTTGATTCCCATCGGCCGAGCGAGTGTGCAAGCGCGCGCTCTTTCATACGCTCCTCTCTCGGGAATCTCGGGTGTCGTGTACATATATATACCTCGTGGTGTTGCGACTTGTACTACTTGGTATACGTGCGAGGGTATTCATCCAAATTCGTTCCCAAGCGCTGTGCCATCGGAGTGTACTTTGGCCACTTTTTTGGTCCGTATAACACAGGCGATCGATCGGCCGATCGCGCGTTGGCGAGCCTCGGACTTGTCGTTGTGTTTTGGTGATCCTCGGAAGTTTATCATGAAGCTCCGGGCGCCACCGATGGGACACCGCGGGGGGGAAACCCGAAACTGAGTTGCGCGAAAAAAGCTCGCGAGTGGTTTTTCTCTTTTTGGCTTCGTTGGAAAAGGTGTCGTGTCCCTCCACAGGCGCCTCCACGAATCTCTCGCCATGTGGCGGACGTGTGTGTTTATTTCGACGTTGGTGGTAAGTAAAAATATATTAAAAAAAAAAAAAAAAAAAAAAAAAAACCATGTATCGAAACAAATAATAAGAGTATAGATCGAAAAAGAGAGAGAGAGAGAGAGACAAGCTATTTAGGGGCACATTGGTTATCCAGGTCGAGTACGCAAAGGACGGAGAATCCGGATTGGTCGAAGAAAAAACTCGCCCATGTTTAGCATTTATATAAGCAGGGAAGGCGGGTTGCGGATGACGGATGATTTCATTTTTCGAATATCAAATCCCCGCACGCGCGTGAAAGTTTTTGCTTTTCGCTTATTTAGACGTCGACGGGCTCACGCACCGAATGCGACTCGGATTGAAATTATACGAAATCGAGAGTCCGAGATATCGTGCGGTCCTTTTCCACATACGCCATTGAATAAAACAATTACACGGGCGCACGTGGACTTTTTTTTTTTTTTTTCATCAAGTAGGTATATTATCATTCATTGCACCGCGAGTGAAAGAAAAGAAAAGAAAAGAAAAAAAAAGAAAAAAAGAACAAGAGAGAAATCTCTCGGGCCATAAATTACGTTTGCCTCGAAAAGAGCAGGACTTTTTCGTGTCTTCTTCGTCGTTAAAGCGCCCAGCAATAGCACCCATCCGCCGAATAAGAAATAGTCAGTCCCAAACTTTCTCGTCTGTCTTTGCTCTCATGTGCTTTACTATTTCATCCGCGAACGCGGTAGCGAGCCGAATTTCGACGATGACGAGTAGAAAAAAAAAAATATGATGTGTATACGGATGAATGATGAGCCTACGATACCTTTTGGCATCAACACACTGCTACATATGAAATACACACGTGTCGTGCGCTTTGCTCGTTTGAAGCGGGTGAATTTCTCTTTTCAAGATTCTTCGACCAAAAATTCGACAAAGACAAATAAATGGCGAATGTATAGAGGTGCACTTAAACACACGCTGAAAGAACTCTTTCTTCGGACGCCCGAGCGAGAGAGCTACTCCTTCCCCGTTGATGTAGTCAAAGGAGCTGAAATTTCTCTTTTTTTCGGATTCTTTGACTACATTAACAAAATATTTCAGCACTTTTCGCTTACTTACCCTCTCACAAAAAGTAAAAAAAAAAAAAAAAATGTACGCATCATACAGTAAAGTATTTCCCGAGTGATTGTAATTGAGAAAAGTTGATGCTCCAAACGGTAGGCAGGGCTGTCGAAATATCTGTTCCGTCAAATTGTTAATATGATATCCCCACGAAGGTTCTACCTGCGTCAACAATGGCAAAGAAATTATTTATGTAACATGTACCAATGGAATTCTGCATAAATTTGCATACGTATAGTTATGCATGCATGCCCGAATATTTTTATTTCGTAAGCATAACCGCATAGCGTAACGGTGGATACGCGTATGATGAGAAAGAAAAAAAAAAAAAAATTTACTTTTTACAGATTTCAGCGAGCGGTTACTACGGCGAGCCCTGCACCACGTACGGCTGTTCACTCGCACCCCCGATACACTCTCAGCCGTTTAGACCGGCGCCACCCGGTCAAACGCCGAAATGTGCAAGAGCCGGATCGACGTTTTGCGAATCTCTCGACGAATATCCGCAGTAATATACTTTTTTTCCCTTTTTTATACTTCCTGTGTACTCCTAGTGTATAGCGTGTTTTTATCGTAAGCCAATCGTGACGTTTTAACTCTCGACGAGTGGTTTTTTTGTACACTAGGTTATACGTAATTTAAAACGAGAGTACGATGTGAAATATTGATATAAGCGTACCATTAATAATGTAACATGTTTTTTTTTTTTTTTTTATCTATGGTACTGGAGCACAAATTCGCCGACAACAATGAGAAAGAGAAAAAAATTGATCGAGATCGATCGAAGGAAACAAGTTTTTCGATATTAGAGCGCAGTTTCGAACACGTCGAGGCTAACAATTAACAGACACGTGATCTATTTGTTAGAAATATTCATGCGATAATATTGAATTTCTGTTCGTAGAAGATAAAAACTTTAAACAAAGTGTACGTCTGTACACTTTTAATCGAAAGTAACTCGTGTGGACGCAGGTGAATGGCAAAAATAATCATTACAATAGAATTGTTCAACGGGAAGAATTTTGTCAAGTCACGTCAAGATAAAAGAAAACCTACCATCGTTAGCTATAAATCTTATAATAACAACGACGTAATTACCTGGCAGTCGCACATATTACCGTACTATACATGCCATGGTAACATGATGTATATATGGTAACGTATGTAAAAAAAAAAAAAAAATGATTACGCAAATTTATAATTAATTTTGTTGAACCCATAATGGACGTATCTGAAATTGCGTATGTACATAAACTTCCCAATGTCGGTTTGAAGAGAGCGTTGTTTCTTTCGTCACTGCGCAATTTGAATTATCAAATTGGTAAACAGAGTTCTTTTCACGACATTTGAATGGCAAAAGCAAATCTCGCGTACCGCGCCCGAAACAATAGATTATTTTAATAGCGCATTTGCACAAGGCTCTGTATGTTAAAAGGACATCAGTCTCTCCGAGCCGTTTGCCAGTGGGCCATTGTCCAGACTTGGAAACGAAAAGAAAATGATGCTTCGGGAGTAGCCTATTGAATTAAACATCGCGGCAGGTTTCATGAGTTCTTTTTTTTTTTTTTTTTTTCGCCTACTCGGTTACGGTGAAAGTTTTGGGACTCGCGGAAATGCTGTTTTTATTTATTTTTTTATTTTTATGGTGCCGAAATTTAACAACTGAACATGAAGAAGACTCATAAATCGTAATTAATTATAATATAAAAAGTTGAAGCTTGATCATTATTATTATTATTATTTTTTTTTTTGTTGGCGCTTATGTTTTTCACGGTTGAAAAAAAAATCTTACAGTCAAGTGTTTTAATATTGAAATTAATCAAATTAGATCTTATTTTTTTATTTAATTTTTTTTTTTTTTATTTTTGGCACCACATTTAACGCAGGATGTATTAAAAAAAGTCTATGATTTTGCAAATTACATGGAAGTCAATCTTTTTTGATGGAACGGTGAACTCAATCCGAGTAACGTACGAATTCTAATTCTACCGCTTCTATATTTACATAATTTCGGAGCCTATCGATTTGGAGACATTTGTTATTCATTCAAATTGCTTTTTGTATCTTTTCTAAAAAGGAAAATAAAGATAAAAAATGCCTCGTCTGTTAAAAGCATATATGTATACATATGTATAAAAAAAAATAAAAAATAAAAAATGATGCATGCTCGCAACATAGTCCGTAGGATTAGCATATTAAATTATGATCTGACAACGATATCCGTCCTCTTACTAGCGCTATAAAAACGTTAGAATTACCGTTGGAGTCACTCACGATCACGCTGATTTATTCAAATGTACTTTCCATAAATCAAATGAAATTTCGTTTATTTTTTTTTTCTCAGAAAACAAATCAAGTTCCTGATTGAGAACCGCAACATCGAGAAATTTCTCCGGGACGAATCCATGGAGAATTTCAATTCTCTAAGGTAACGCGATTTACGCAATCGCAATATCTATAATTTCTACAAACGAAAAAAAGGGCATCCAGTACCTACTTATCCCGTATCGCTTTTTTTTTTTTTTCACTTTTACACACACCTTAAAAATTCATAAAATAAAACAAGAGAGCCAAGGTTACGGGACTTGTAATGCGTACCGAATGCCCCGTAGTGTCGTTAGTACAGTAAATTCATGATTTTACAATGATTTTCACTATTTCAGACAAATACCCGATTACGACGACTACGGTTACGATTACCCCAAGCCGAAAGTCCCCTCGGAGCTGTACCCGCAACCTGTACCGTTCATCCCCCATGCGCAGTCGGCCACTTTTGTTTACAACGTGCCATTAAATGTCACTACCAACAGGTACGTTGTACTTGCATTGATTGAACGCGAATGGTAAAGAGACCGGCTGGAAAATCCCCGATGACATATCACACTTAATCCCAACACGTACAGTATATTATAGAGTCAATCATTGTTTGTTTTTTTTTCTTTCTTCTCGAATGCGCGTGTTGTTTCAGACACGTATCGTCGACGAATCCGTTCTTCTCGCAAAGTGCATCGATAAGCACGAGCTATCACAGCTTCAGTTACCAGCATCAGGGCAGCCAGCGGTTGCGGCCTCAGTACCACCAGGCCCCCGTATTTTTCAATCCCAACCAGCCGAACCCTTGGCCGCAAAGGTTGGGAAACAAGTTACAACAAAGTATTAATAATTTGACGGGTGTATACCTTTTTTTCTCCTTTTTTTGTTTAGGAATCCTGCGGAAGTTGCGGGCCACACGCGCAACCAGAATAATCCACTATTGGAGTTTGGCGCGAACCCCAGGAACCGAGCCAAGAGACAGTCGGACGTCAACGGCGTCTCAATTTGTCCGACGAAGACGGTGTCGGTTTTGCCAAAGGCCGCGGTCAACAACCAGGGAAATTGGATGTACATCGTCAACTTCGAGGACCAGAAAAAGTATTCGCAACTCGTTAGGAGTGAAATTTGCATGTGAGCAATCCTACAAACGAATGACCAACACGAATTACAATTTGTCATCAATGACTCGAATTTCCTTGTTTCCTTCCAGGAGTGACACCTGCGATGGACTGTGCTCACTGCCGCTCGGTTATTCGAGCAAGTGCAAGCAACAGTACGTACAGAAGAGGTTGATTGCCCTGGGAGGCAGCGGCGAGGACCTGTACAACGACGTTTTCTGGTTCCCGAGCGGGTGCACCTGCCAGGTGTCGCTGGATTACTAAAACTGCGCGTGGATTGTTTGTTTTTTTTTTTTCCTAGTTAGAAAAATAAAATAGTGTATGGCACCAAAAAGATGCGCCTTTGTTGAGCGCCGAGGAGAAAGAGAGAGGCGATAAGTATAGCTTTTTTTTTTTTTATTTATTGTAATTCATCGTCGAATGAATCCATTATCATTTCGTAGAAACTGCACTATCACGAGATTATTGTACCTACACTACGATCATTGCTACATGTGAGCAAATCTCGTTTTTATAATTGTTTACTCAACCGAGAGGAGATAAAAGTGCTCATATAAATCTGTATAGCTACAATCTTTGTTGAACGGCGAGTCTAATATATACACGTATATAATATATACAGTTTTGCGCTCGAGACTATATCATCGTACTTTGTACTTTAGATATTAGGATGTGTCGGTAGCTCGAAAGGTTGTGCCGGTGATTCAAAGAGAAAACGTATACGTTGCGTGCGCTTACGAGAACCGACCTTGTTGCGGATGCTAGAAGCGTCGCGGTGTCGCTGATGGGCTTTGAATACTCAATGGGCCTACGCGTCGAAAATGGCACGAGAGATGGAAAAAAAAAAAAAAAAAAAAAGAAGAAGAGGAGGAGGAGACGAAACAAATGTTGAACAGTGTTACAGGGAAACGGGACAGGCTCCTTCGGGAGTTGATGATAGGGATAATTGACGGTTACCAAAACGAGGAGCCGAGGAGTAAACCGTTGTCCTTTGTTAATTTTTTATTGTAGGTCTCGCCAGAGGTGTCTTTTTGTTACCCACGATTCGACGCATGTATTTATTTTTAATAATTTTTAATAAACGATTCGAATCGTATGGCAAAAGTTGTTTGTTGCTGTGCATAGGAGGCTTTTCAGTTGGCAAGCAAAGATACCGATAAGTCAACGAATAAACAAAGTTTCTCGAAGGTAAATAAGAAGATTCTATACTCTCATCAGTATATCGCGCGAACGCAACGTGACAAAACTAAGTATATGAGGAATTACCGTCCGCGCAAAGTGAAACTCTGGCTGCGCGCGGTAGATGTCGGTGTGCGTTTGCTATTGTTGAAATATACTTTCGCTCGTTTGACGAAACAAAGCGGGAGAACCGCGTGTGATTTACGTTAGTGGATTTCGAAAATTCCGTATGGGAGGAGCCACAATTGTTTTTTTTTTTTTTTTTTTTCATCGTAAAAGTCGAACGAAAAAATCATTCGCATCGGGAGAAAAAAAAAAAATCAATGCCGACAGTGTAGCCTGGGTGGTTTTGCCTGACCTTTACCAAGTTTATCACCAAAGCGCATTGAAATTCATTTATTTTTCAATTAAAGTAAAAACCTCTTCCTGTGACGAGCAAAAAAAAAAAAAAACTACCCCGTAGGAAACGCAAAGACCATCGTCGTGCGTAGAAAAAAGAAAAAAAAAAAAGCTGAACACGCATCTCGACGCACCCGCGCATATATATAAATGCCAGTGTACGCTCAAGTAGCGCAATGTATGTATATACGCACGATTCTCGGTGCAGGAGCCCGTATACAGCCAGCACCCCTTCACGGTACATGTACGCGCAGAGAGAATATTGCACAGAGCAGTCGGAGAGCGGGGCAAAAAGGAGCGTATAGACCGCGCACTTGTACGTATCGCGCTACGTGTCGCGTTGACTCGAGCATCCCTCCCCCACCTGTGCGCGTATACATGTATATAATATACAAATGGGGGAATGGGGTGGTAGAAGAAGAAGAGAGAGGGAAAAAGAGCGAAAAGTAGCAGGGGGACGGGGTGAAGGAAGGCAGGAAGGAAGGAAGGAAGGAAGGCAAGGGGTGGGTTTCTAGGCACGTACGAGTCCAGGGCCTGCATCAGTCACGTATATGTACATACAACATATACTAGGAGGAGTAGGTATGTATGTATGTATACATATACAGTAAGTATAGGTTGGAGGAGAGAGAGAGAGAAAAAGCTCCTGCTGCCCCCGACTGGCTTCATCAAAGCCCCATCAGAGCGAGAGGAGGCGAAACAAAGACGGCCTCGGCGAGACGGGGGTGCGGGTCTTGGAAATTGAAAAAGCAGAGACGCCATAGAAATGGCGAAGGAGGAGGAGGAGGAGGTGGAGCAGAGCGAGAAAGTCGGCAAACGAGCGTAAAAGTGGTAAGGAGCCGTGATGGGGATGCCTGTGTATCACATATGTATACACGCTGTATACTTATACAGTACATGGTGCGCGAGCTAGGAGGAAAACACCGGCTATAATGTGAGGAGATGTGAGCGCGAGGCATCAGAGAAAGAGTGCGTATATATACGCAAACTACCCATCTCCTTTCGCGGTGCATACATTACGTGAACCGTATATGTGTATATATGTACCTACGCGCGGAAAGAGAAAGAGATGTGCACGCGCAACGGGGGCTGCACTTGAAGGGGTTTCCGTTGCATTACACGCGTGCACGCACCGTATCGCTGTATATGGTATACAAAATAATAATAATATTATACACGGTACGTTATATTATATACACTTACAGGTGATGCAACAGCCTGGAATTACGTGTGTGTGTGTACGGACTCTGATGAAGATAAGTGTATTATTGTAATGGCGAGCTGGTACTTCTATATGTATATATATATCGGTAACTTATAGGTCTCGCGGGATTCGAAACTTAAATTTCTATTTATACCAGCAGTATATGACTTAAACGTTCAAAAATGCAATCCAGACATACCAAGTACTATTGATCCTATAGTGATTTTTATGACAAGTACAATCAAAAGTATATTATTATAAACAAAAACGAGCTAAATTTTGTCATCGTGTATTTTTACACGTACACCTTTGTACTTAGCACGTAGAGGGTTGTAAAAAGCAGTAACCATCACCTAGCATATACTGTACACAGGAGGCATGGAATATCTGCGTATACAGCCCCAATAGGCCAACACGTACACGAGTACTTGGGAAGAGAAAAATAAGTAGTGTACGTGATGTACACACACCTGCATGGCCGAGGCAATTATAAATACACGTCTCGCGTCGTCGTCACTCGTCACTTGTATATTATTCGTATATACATGTATACTTGTATTCCTATGCGTATGTAACATACTTCAAGTATCGCCACTTGTACGCCAGACAAATTTTTCAAGAGCTTTATAGGAGCACGGCTAGCTCTCTTGCTTGTGTAATATATATACATACATATATATATATAACATTCCTCCTTCGCTTGACTCGCGTTCCTTCCTTAATTTTGTACTCCATAGGTACTGCACATGACTACGTTTTTGCGTCCAAGGACTTTGCGAGAAAATAAAAAAGTAATATAAATTAAAAATTATTCGCTGTATTCCAAGTTACGAACTTTGCTTGAGATTGTTAGTTTATATACCACAGCCAGTGGAGAAGCAACCATTTTTTTTTTTTTTGCACTCTACTGCAGACACGCAGACTCATCTCCGTACTCATGTAATATAATGTGTACGCGTAATAGACGTTATGCGTCACTTAGTTTATACCTACACACGTACATATATATATACAATCGACGAGCAGTAATTATGAGCGATACATGTATACAAGAGCAGGGGTATATATATATATGGAGGAAGAGTGACGGGGAGACACGGGCGAGACGAGAGGAGGGCAGGCACAGATGACTTCCTTTTAATCTCCACGGACGGTCATTTCGGTGACGCTACGACTGATGTTAACTACCGTATCTATACGTAGGTATACGCGCTCTGCTCTCCCCCAAAACACCTTTCTTCCGATCGATCCATTGGTTTTTAATTCTGCAATTTGACCAATTTTCACGGTTTCCCGTTCGCGACTCGATAAATGTGGTTTGGTGATATTTTACTCGGGTGCTCGAAAAATTGTTGCCGACGAGTGGAAAAAAAAAAATTAGTTTTTTTTTTTTCATGATGAGTGGCTCCTTCATTTGTTACTTCACTTAAAAATCACTGCTGTTTCATTTACAAGCCACCGAATCATCTTTTTTTTTTTTTTTTTTTTTCGTTCACCGCACAAAAAAAGTGCATCCATAAGTCCAACTTGATAAGATACTTGACCCATTTTCGTTATGGGGTTGGCTTCGAGCGAGCAGTCGGACGGACAGTGGGCGATGACGACGCTATACAGATAATACCCATACAGCAGAGCCCGCAGGGAGAGAGGCAAGTTAACCTCGCGTCCCTGATTTTCGCCAAACCCTTCCTTTCGGCTTATAGCGGGATTTTCGGCGACCTCGGCCACCAACCTCGTCCTCTCTTCTAATTTTTTTTTTTTTTTTTTTTCTTTCCCCCCCTCATCACCCGCCCTCGGTTCCTCCCTTCTCTCCCCATATTCGCGCGGTCCTACATGCCCTTTTCGCTCCGGGGGACTCCTGCCGCGCGCAGCCATTAGCGCGTGCAAGACTTTACCCCGCCGGCGGCGCACACGGAGGTGAAGGAGAAAAAGACCGGCTACTGACCTCTGCTTCCGCACGATCGGTCCGAACTCTGTAATACACGTTACGCATACATATACCATGTATATTTATACACACGGTACCGGGAGAGCCTCTAATTGTCCGCATTTATAATTCAACGGATCGTCATTACCCCTAATTGAAAGCCCTGTCTTGCTGCACACAATATAATTATGTGTATATACCTACATGTCGCACCACCTTTTCACGACTCCGTAACAACTGTGTATTGTTGGGTATTATTTTTTAATCATCACTCTCCTTTTTAATCATCGCGTAGGGCGCTTATTATCCGCACCTTCGGATCGAACTCTACGCAACGAGGCATTAATTTGCAAAGTACACACGGGTATACAGGAGGTGATTGACTTGTCGAGGAGCGGGGCGAGAAAGGAAAAAAAAAAAAAATAAAAACCATCACCAACAGAGATATGCAGGGGTAGGTGTACAGAATATGAGGCAAGAAGTGCCGTGCATATATATATACGGAACATGGGTATATCGGGCAAATGGGAAAGGCAGTCGTTTGTGAAAATGATC